AATTCATCCCGGCAACTCGCCACATTTGAAGAGGACCTCGCCAACCTTCTCCCGCCCACGCCTTCGTACCACCCTCGGATCCCGCAGCTGTGTGCGCAACCCACACACACGCTCGCCCTCCCCCCCCACTGCTCTGGGCCCCCCTCCGCAGAACCACCACCATCACCACCACCACCACCGCCCCGCCGGAGCCGACACAGATCGACGCAGGTCGCCACGACCGGCTCCACCAGCGCCTCGTTGTAGATGCAGTCGCACGCCACCACCACGTCGAAACCCGGCCGTCGCCCCCGGCCCCGCTAGCGCCGACGTCACGCCGTCAGTCTCCCAGTCGAGGGGGGTGAATACGACGCCCGTTCGGGCGGCGCGTGCTGGGGAGTTGCGGCGCGGGGTGGAGGTGCGGTGCGTTTTGGGGGTGGGGGTGGATGTGGATGTGGATGTGGGGCGGGAGCGGGAGCGGCGGGGGGGTTTGTTGCTGCTGTTGTTGGTGCTGGGTGTGGAAGTTGTGGCGGGGGAGGGGGAGGGGGAAAGGGAAGGGGGTGAGTGGGAGGGGTGGGAAGAGGTGGCGCGCCAGTTGGCGTCGAGGTTCTGCTCGAGCAGCTTGGCGACGTAGGGCTGGTCGGTGAGGACGTAGCGCGCGATGTGCGGGCCGAGGAGGAGCCCGACTAGGCCGGATATGCCACAGCCGAGTTCGAGGACGCGCGAGGTGGGGGTGAGGAGGGCGTGTGTCCAGAGGGGGTTGTGCGGGGAGGCCAGCCAGGCGGCGAAGAGGGGCGTTATTTTCCAGGTTACTTGGGGGTGTTAGCGGTGGGATGGGATGTGGTGGGATGAGATGTGATATGTGATGGGATAGGGGGGTAATATGGGAAAAGGGAGTAAAATATCAATATGGGTGAGGATCGGGGGTGGCTGGGTTGGGGATGTTTTGCTGGGGTTTAAACGCACCGGCTCCTGTTGTGCCGCCGGCACGGTTGGATGAGAGGATGCCTGGGGACTGGGTGATCACCAGGTCTCGCCTTGCGACGGTGAGCTCGAGCGTGGTGGCTCTCGAATCGATGAAACCGAGGTTTTGGGAGGGCAGGTCCTGTGTAAACAACTCGAATGTCTCTAGAACGACAGCCAGGCCGTGTTAGTTAACAAATGCCCCCAAAAGGCAAGCGAGATATATCCCTTCAGTTGTTGGGGTATGTCCCTGCATGCTTCCCCCCGTTCCCTTTCCTCCGCCTCTAGTCACACATCGGTTGCATGTTTTGTGTTGTTTTCCCACCTTCTTCAGCATCCTGCACTGGCGCGCCGAGCGACAGCAAGAAGCGCTGCAGCTTCATGGTTAGGTGGTTGCCCCTTGTTTACTATCCAATAATGGCGGATTGTCAAGTCTCAAAAAACCGTGGGAGTCTCGGCCAAGAAAAGCATAATCTTGGAAAATGTGGAGGCGAGAGACGATTATTAGCTCGGCGTTAGCAGGTCTCGGCCTGGCCTGGCCTGGCACGTCTGGGCAGCGTCGGGTAGCACCAGACTGTTCAACGAAGTAGAGTTCTTATCCGCGTCAAAGGTGTGCGCTGCAGGGGCTTAAAGCCAACCGCATCCGTGATGCAACGCAGCAATGTTCGAGGTGCTAACGGCATTGCCTCGCTACCAAACACCCTTTTATGGCATCCCTTCCCTGGATTATCTCCCTCCATGACACGAGCGCAACAAAAAAATCGGAAAGAATGCCCAGACCCCTTCCATTGACCCCAAAAATCCCCATCCCTCCTCCGATAACTAGCCGTAAAGTGGAGAGAGCAAATGGGACAAGCACCACAAGATGGGACTGAATGCGGGGAAGACGTCAAGCTTGCAGGGGATGGTTTGCTACAGCCGCAGGCCGCCAGTGAATGCATGCTCATCGACGTACCCTGCGATTGGACGGACTATGCCAAGGGGAGCGATCTGTCAGGGCTGAAGGCGATTTCGTTGGTTACCTCGCCTGGAGGCTGGAAATTCATCAGCTATGGAAGTCACGGGTCTCGCTGCGATGCCCGCCATTACTTGGCCTGTTGTTATGCAGATGCACGCGTGCTGAGGTTACCCTTACTTGGTACCTAGGTTGTCCCCTACGCGCTCTATTAGCACGAAGTTCGAATGGTATCTGTGCTGCGGGAACACACCTTGGGAGGACTGGGTTGGGCATTATGCATCAACGATGGACCCGAAGTGTGTTCGTTCGAGTGTGGTTATATACTGGGTATTCGTACCTCCCTCCTCCGCTCCATCGGACCTCCATGGGCGTCCTCTTTCTCTCTCGCCTTCAGGGTACCTAGGCGGCCATCGTTGCCTGCGTGTCTGCGTCCCTGTGTCCAGTGACTTGCTTCAGCGTCGCCTTCGTGACCAGTGCCACAATTCTTGGAAGGTCTCAGAGTGGAACGCCCAGCCTGCCAGGACGCGGCCTAGCCCCAGCCCGGCTAAGTTTGTGGGGACATGGGGCCACTGAGCTTTCCCCAAACAGGACCATGCAGGAGCTCTCTGCTCTGCTCGGGTGCAGTTCTTGCCAAAACCCCTTGCCTCTCCCCGTCCCTGGGATCCCGACGTCTGAACTTTCGCGCTCTTCTGCTCCTTGTTTTTCTCCCAATATACCCAATCACCCATCTTTTACAAGCTCAGTCGCTGGACCTTCGACCGAGCGACGAGTGCACCCATCAATCCGAGCACGCTTAGACTTGCACGTCGGGATATCCTAGCTGTTGTTGCTGGGTGACAAAGTCGCAGCGGGGCCTTTCCGATCTCCGAGCTCTTTTTATTCGTACCGAGTCCCCGACGATCCAGAAAAACGAAACATCCTACCTACCACAACAAGCTCCCCGATCAGCTTTTTTTTCCTTCTCGGCTCCCCGTTCACCCACAACACAATGGCGAAGCCGACACATCTGATTCCGCGGATGTCCGCGAAAGAGCCCCTTCTCGGTCGAAGTACCCGGCCAGCAGCCCGTCGAAGGCGAGACTCCGGTTCGTAGGCATCCTCTTGCCGTTAACGGCCTCATCACCACCCCCAGCGAAGACATCACGACTGTCCACGAGCTCGTCCGCGCGAGCGTCGCCAAGTTTGGTAATGCCAAGTGCATGGGCTCCCGCAAACTGGTGCGCACGCACCAGGACAAGAAGATGATCAAAAAGCTGGTCAACGGCCAAGAGTGCGAGGTCGAGAAGTCATGGACCTTCTTCGAGATGAGCCCCTACGAGTACATCAGCTACACAGACTACGAGCGCTTGACCCACCAACTCGGCGCTGGTCTGCGCAAGCTAGGCCTCGTCAAGAATGACCGCGTGCACGTCTACGCCGCCACCAGCCAGAACTGGTTGGCCATGGCCCACGGCGCCGGTTCGCAGAGCATGCCCATCGTGACCGCTTACGACACACTGGGCGAGGAGGGCCTTCGCTACTCCATGGTGGCGACCAAGGCCAAGGTCATCTTTTTGGATCCCCATCTTCTGCCCACCCTGACCAACGTGCTCGCCGTCGCCACCGCGGTCCAGACCGTCGTCTGGAACGACCAGCACCAGCTCAACCCGGAACACGCCGAGAAGCTCAAGGCCTCATACCCACACGTCAACATCCTTAGCTTCGAAGAGCTCCGGAAGATGGGCGAGGAGAACCCCGTCGATGTCGTTGCGCCAACACCCGACGACCTTTGCTGCATAATGTACACATCGGGCTCCACAGGCACCCCGAAGGGTGTTCCGGTGAAGCACTCGGCTGTTATCGCGGCTGGTAAGTTTTCTCGCCTTGGATTTGCGCTTGCCAACATGGAACTGACCGATCAAATCTGCAGTCGCGGGCGCAAGCGTTGTCGTCGAGCAGTTTATTGGACCTGGCGACGGCCTCCTGACCTATCTGCCGCTTGCGCACATCCTCGAATTCGTCTTTGAGCACGCCGCTATCTACTGGGGCGCCACACTGGGCTATGGTAATCCCAAGACCCTCTCGGACGCATCGGTACGCAACTGCAGCGGCGATATTCGGGGAGTTCAAGCCTACCGTTCTGATTGGCGTGCCCGCCGTCTGGGAGACGGTCAAGAAGGGCATCATCGCCAAGGTCAACGCCGGCAGCCCCGTCGTGCGGGGTCTCTTCTGGGGAGCACTGTCTCTCAAGGAGATGCTGATGTCCTCTGGGCTGCCCGGAAGCGCCATCTTGGATGCCGTGGTGTTCAAGAAGATCAAGGAGGCCACGGGCGGGCGTATGAAGCTGTGCCTGAGCGCTGGCGGCCCGGTGTCCAAGGAGACTCAGAAATTCCTCAGCATGTCGATCTGCCCCATGATCATCGGCTACGGCCTCACCGAGACGTCAGCCATGGGCACGCTACAAAACCCGCTCGAGTGGACCTCGGAGTCGATCGGCGCCATGACGGCCTCGATCGAGGCCAAGCTGGTCGACTTTGCCGACGCTGGCTACTTCGCCACCAACAAGCCGAACCCGCAGGGTGAGATCTGGCTGCGCGGCCCGACGGTACTGTCGGGCTACTACGAGAACGACGAAGAGACGGCCGAGGCCCTTACCGCGGACGGCTGGTTCAAGACGGGCGACATTGGTGAATGGGACAGGAACGGCCACCTCAAGATCATCGACCGCAAGAAGAACCTGGTCAAGACGCTAAACGGCGAGTATATTGCACTCGAGAAGCTCGAGGCCACGTACCGGTCGGCTCCTGTGGTCGCCAACATCTGCGTTTACGCCGATCCCACGCAGGCCAAGCCTATCGCCATCATTGTCCCGGCCGAGCCTGCGCTCAAGAAACTGGCCGCGGCGATCGGCGTCGAGGGCGAGGGTCTCGAAGTCCTCGTCCACAACAAGAAGCTGCAGGGCGCCGTCCTGAAGGAGCTTCAAACTGCGGGCCGTGCTGGTGGTCTTTCTGGAATTGAGATTGTCGATGGCGTGGTCGTCGTCGACGACGAGTGGACGCCGCAAAACGTAAGCACCCCATCCATCCATCCCTTTCTTACAATGAACGATCGGCTGACTTGCAATTCTACCAGGCTCTTGTCACGGCCGCCCAGAAGCTCAACCGCAGGGGCATCCTCGACAAGTACAGGGCGCAGGTAAACGAGGCGTATGGCCCCTCGAGTTAAGCGTTTCCGGAGAAGAAGTATGGATTGGAGATGCAACGGAAACGCAGCGGAGATGGGTAAGATTGGAGAGCGTTTTTTGTTTGTGACTATTACTTGTGATATACACTTCCCTTGGTATGGTTCTAGGTCTAGTCCGTTTTTTTGGTCATGTTTTGATATGACGTAACGGGCTACCCTGATGGTTGTTGCTTGCTTGGCTTGGTCTCGTCGGTCTGGTCGGGTCTGGTCTGGTCTGGTTTTAGCTACCGTAATGTTTTTGTTCGTTTCAGAGCGTTCAGTTGCAAATATTTCTTAGCATCATGATACAATTATTTCCTTGTCTCGAACAAACATCTTTTAAAAGGTGCCGCTTGTACATGTGGTGATAGGTACCTTAATCTTGGCGTGTGAGGTTCCCTTCTTGTTGTCGCGTGAGGTTGCCGCCGGCAGAGACAGACGGGGCAGGGGGGTCAGCATAACGGTACACTTGATCAACAACATCTGCAACATGAAACGGTCTGGGACGGACTGAACCAGGAAAAACCGTAGAAAAAAAAAAGAGGAATTGCTAGTTTAAAACACACACACACACACGCCCACGCACAACCGAGTTACAGAGACCTCTTTGCAGCCAGCCCCAAACCTGCCGCGCCAAGTGACTGCGCCTCTCCGTCCCCGTTTCACAAAAAAATCTCTCAGTGTCAACCGGCGCCGCGGTCATACATACACCTGTCTGGCCTGGGATCGGGGGAGAGGAGGGGGAAAGGGGGTGACTATGCCGCCCACCTCTTGTTGGGGGAGGGAGTGAGTGGTTGGTTCTCCCCCGAGGTAAGTTGGGAGAAAGAGGCCGCCTGGTTGAAGGCAGCAGGCAGCGTGGCTACTTTCTCGCCAGAGCTGCATAAACCACCAAACCATAAGTATTGTTGTTGTACTCATGCCCCAGGATTCGTTCGCCATTTCCTTCATGCCCGGGTGACCCTCCCGCCTTGCCACCCCGTTTTCCCCCTTCCCCCTCCCACCGGCCCCGCTGGGACCACCACCACCACCACCACCACCATCGGCAACCCACTAGCAGCAGCGCGCGCTCGGGTGGGTGGTGTCACACCAGGCCGTCGTACAGCGAGAGGGCCGAGACGATGGTAGCGTCGCGCTGGCTGCCTTCCTTGAACTCCTGCATGTCGAGGCTGCCGTTCTCATCCTTGTCCATCATGCGGAAGATCTTGCGCACCCGCTTCTCGGGCGTGTCCTCGTCCTCGGGTAGCTTGACCATCGAGCCGACCTGTTTTTTGCACGTGACAAGGTGTGGTTAGTTGTGTTTGTTGGTTGGGGTGGTGGTGCTGACTGGAGAGGAGGAGGGGTGGGGAAGACAGAGGGTGGAGAAGGCGGGCGGTTACCATCTTGTAGATCGCCTCGACAATCTTGAGCATCTCCTCGTAGCTGATCTTGCCATCGCCGTCGATGTCGTATAGCTGGAACGCCCAGTCGAGCTTGTCCTCCATCTTGCCGCGGCTGGTCACGCTGAGGGCGCAGATGAACTCCTTAAAGTCGATGGTGCCGGACTTGTCTGTGTCGAACACGTTGAATACGTAGTCGGCGAAGGTGGACGGGTCGCCGAAGGGGAAGAACTGAGCGTAGATCTTTTGAAACTCGCTCTTGGTGAGCATACCCGATGGGCAGTCTTTGAGGAAGCCTATTGCGCGCGTCCCGACTCTGGTCAGAATTTTTAAACTCTTTTAGGCGAGTTTGGGTGCGTCGCGCGCTGCTGGACAACCCACCTCTATACCATTGCTGCAGCTCCTTCTTGTCGAAGTTGGTTGACCGTTGCAGCTCCTTCAGCTGGTCATCCGGGAGCTTCTTCGACTGTCTGTAGGCGGGCGGGAGTGTGTCAGCAACGCACTCCATACACGATCTCAGGGCGCTGGTCTCCCGGGTTTTTGCGATAGCGTTGAGCGGTTGTCGCGGGAGGGGAGGGGGGTTCAACACCGCTTTCACAAGCGCCAACCGCCGCCCCTCTCCTCTCCCCACCAGCTCAACTTCGAGATGCGCCGGGACCCAGAGGACCCCGAGTTCGACTTCCCACTCACAGATTGCCCATATCTGAAAGCCAGTTGGGTGATTGTTGCCGCCGTGGCCAGTTGTCCTGACGCTGGCAGCGCCGTGAGGGGTCGAGGGGTGCGTTGCGACAAGGATTGTTTGGTCAATTAATGGCTCGATTGGGCGGTTCCGCAGATCGCTCGAGCTTGTTCTTGAGTTATGTAAGGTACTCTCGGTTAGATGCGTGTCTTTGCTGCAGATAAGAAATAGCTCCCAAAAGAGAAAAAGGAGGCGGTAGAGATTCGTCGAGATCTGTTGGCCAAAGGCGTGGATTTGCAGGAAGGAAGACGGGCTTTTTGGGACTCGGCGCTTCGCTGGCGGGATGATGGGCGACGGAGCAACAATGCGAGAGCAGGGCAAAGTCCAGGCGCGGAGGGACAGGACCGGGAGTTTGAGACCGGGCTGTGACGATTTGCGGCTAGTCCCACTGTGTATTGGAGCAAGACGGGGGGTGGCTCGCACGGTCCTATTTGCACTGTCCCGAGGGGCCCGGAGGCATGGGGAAGGAGATCCAACAGGCGCTTTTCTTCAGATTTATTTTTGCCCGGCGTCAGGGCGCTTCGTTCCACGAGATGTGGACGTGCGTAAATAGGTAACCAGGCACGAAATACATTCAAAGAAGTCGGGCACGTCGCAGCATCAAAATCCATCATTTGTTTTTACCAGTTCAACTCCCTTGGACTCCTTCAACAAAACTCACTCACAGTGATATCTGTATGTACGCGGTAGATCCCGATGGTGCGGCTCACAAGGCTAGCTTCGGGGTCGAGGGGCAATGAGGGGCTTCGATTCAGGGACAACCCAAGCAACGGGTGCAGTTCTGGACATGCTCGGCATCTGGGAGGTGGGCCCGGATCTTCGAGAAGGGACTTGGAAGTTTTGCCGTCTTTTGTCCCACCCTCTTTGAAGAAAAAAGAGGCCTCACCATCCATCCACCGCCTCCCGAGTTGTCACGTTGTGCATCATCAGACCAGTCCGCAGTTCCATTTTATCTTGGCTTCCCATGTCCACCCTGCCCGCCACCGTAACTACACAGTGAACCAACACCAACACCTCCATTGAGGAAACAGAACCAACCCCAGGACGGGAACATGGGCCGAACACACACCTGCCCAACTGCACAGTGACACAATGCAGCAGCACAGGGGGGGATGGGGTCAAGTGTACCGCAAGAATTTCACCAATCAGCTTTGTCTCGCCTTGCCTGATGTTGTCTCGAGACTCCAGACACTCAACACCAGAAACGAGAACGAGGGGTCCTTTTTCTTGCAACCCCCGCTCTTCTTCGTGGCTGTGCAACGCGCCAAGAGCACAAAAAATAAAATGCAGGCCGCCAATCACTCGCCGTCGGGATCCCGAATCGTGCAACAGGCTTGCTGAGCAGCGGTCGCGTGGCGAGAGGAGTGCGAGGGGACGAGGTGACACAGCCGAGGGCGAGTTCGTAGCGGTTACTGAAGCAACTACAAAAGGCCGTAAGTAAATATTTACTGAGCAATATCCCATCAAAAGAAAAAGATGCTTCCATTCCGATGTATCATCCATAAGGGAAAGAGCTAGTTAGTTACCAGTGGTCTGTACAGTACATGTATATGCGTGCCCCAAACAGACCCTTCCTCGCCATGCTTCCATCCTACCATCCATGCCATCATCATATGGATCTTAGCGCTACCCGAAACCGGTAAGAAAAAGGGGAGATCTAAAGCAAACAAAAAGAGAACTCGAGGGAGGAGGTAATAATGACGGGCACCGGGCGCCGAAAACAAAGCAAAAGAAAAGAGAACGGGCCCACTTTTTTACCATTTCCCGCCCCCCAGACCGCCAATCCATCCATCCATAACCCCCTCCCCCACCCACTTACACCCACACCGCTCGCCGCCCGCCGCCCGCCATATAAGAGACAGACTCGACCCCCCCGGACCCCCCCGCATCGCATCCACATCACCCAACAACAGCTTTCATGCTCAAGCTCTCCAGAAACCCACCCAGATCCTCCTTCTTCACCTCCACCACGCAGTGCTCAAAGCTGTCGATGCGCACCCTCGCGTTAGACTCGCCCACCACATCGTGGAAGGCCGTGCCAAACCGGTTCAGCCCATACCCCCGGGCGCGCGCCCTATCCTCCTCCTGGGATCGGCGCGTCACGGACTACGGGGGCTTTACTCTCCTGCGCGGCCTGAAGCTGGGGCGGGTGGGCGTCGTTCGCCGCGGCGCTGCGTCCCATGGCTCGCTGCCGGACGCGCCGGCCGCGGCAGCAGGGGGCGCGGGAGCAGCAGCCCGGAGGCGAGGAGCTGAGCGGC